TCCAATGCGACTTCGGATTTCTGTGTCACTTTTTTCGACGTGTGTTGAAACACTTCCCGGGTAGTTAGATTCCAGTAATTTCTTAATTCTCTAATTACTAACTCGCAACATGGTCTACTCCGCATGCTACCAACCGTATATTGTTTGCATATAATTGGTGAATCCTCCTTAAACTAAATACGTGCATCTGTCTCATATTGCACGTATCAACAAAGAAATTTCGGTATTAAATGATACATTGTTAATCGGAAAACCGTTTTCCAATTCCTGTTGGGTTCATTACATTTACTTATGCGTAAATACCCTTGGGAAAGGTATGAATCCATATCTCCACCAACTATGGGTTAACTACCAAAAATTTTATAACCTATATGACAGTGCCGTACTTGGTATGACGATAAACTACATCCGGCACCAAGGCCACTGATTTGAAGGATTTGAGGAACGACGAACCACCTCTTAATTGCTGCTCTTCCCAGGTCCACACTGACACGGAGTAATAGCACCTGTTAATGTCTCAGCTATGAGGCCAAAACTCGATGAAAGTATTAAAAAAAATGTTACAGTAAAAATGCCAGTAATACAACTTCTTAGTAAGAGTAATTACTAGCAAGACATTTTTGTAAAATAAAAAAAAATAAAAATTTTCCAGCAATACAATGCATTTTTGTTAAAAAAAAAATTAACTTCAATACATTTGTTTAAAATAATTAGCAAAAATACATTTTTGTTAGAAATTAGCAGCAATACGTTTTTGTTAGAAATTAGCAACAATACATGTCTGTTCGGAATTAGCCACAATACGTTTCTGTTTGGAATTAGCCACAATACATTTTTGTTAAATTAGCAGCCATACAATACACTTTTTTTTTTAAATTAGCAATACATTTGTGTAAAAGAAATTACTAATGCTTCCAAGAAACTTAAATTTCGGTATTAAATGATACATAAGCAGTAGATATTCCGCTAAACAAACAGACTATATGACAGTGAATGCTAGACAATCACGTCACAGATGAAAAGACAAAAAGGCAACAGAAATATGGATCTACAGAAGAATGCTGAGAATCCCATTAACTGAACATGTGAGAAATAAGGAAGTTTCAGAGAAAATGGAAACAAAAATGCCTTGCATCAGAAAGACACTTGAAATGTCTAGGATACATAATGAGGAATGTGAGGCTTAGAAAATTTGACCCTCACAAAACATGTTATATTACTAAAGGCAAGATGGACCGAGGAAAACAACTCATTAACTACCTAAAGAAATTGTGTAAATGGTTGACAGAATAGGAATTAGAAGAGATAGCAAGTTGACTGTGGAGAGCCATGATCGGAAATGACACATTGATTATTCCGATTTCATTAAACTAAATACGTGTATCTGTCTCGTATTTTACGTATCGACAAAGAAACCAATAATGGTGACTTTGGTGAATAGCGCTCTTTCATGGAGCGGACACTTAGCTTTAATTTTTACCAACTTATTATACCGTGTCTCTTCAGGATATCGGCAGACATAGCTATCGACAACTTTTGTAGCTCTAAACAATCCTGATGGGACTTCTAATTCTCTCAGAAACGACTCGCTGTAAAGTTTGAATATGTCCGGTGAGAAGACATATGCTTGACTTACACTTCTTCCTATTTCTGTCTATTTACTGAATATATTTTTGTCTGTATGAAGTCGGTTTACTCCTAGTATAAGTTGTACATTATTTTAAGATCCCTTTGAAATATGTTAAATCTCAATCTCGTTCTGTTTTGAGAGAAAAATGCAGTGTGCAAATTCGTGTGGATTTGTATGCTCTTTAAATCAGCATTCAGAGCTCTCCCTTTTCAATGGGATCTATTACTGACCGGCGGTAATTACTTGTTTATACCCAGCCATGAAACAAGATATCAAACCGAAATTTATGAGGCATAGCTTAGCCTGCTATAAGGACAATTTGATGCGGATGATGCCATACTAATATCCATATTTTACTTTCTTGAAAACAAGCATTCACTTTGCGTAAGTCAGAAAAAAATTGGAGATTGTTACAAGGTTGAAATTGATACTGGTGCGAAAGGTCGGCCTTCAGAATTCCGTGTCAAATTTTCCATTGTCTGATCCGGGATAGTGAAATTTCTATCTACCTGCTTGATTCTGAGGTCTCGAATTCTTAGCTCCCAACTTTTGCTGTCTCGACTGTTGACGGCCATCAGTTCTCTCTTTTTACAGTTAATAGTTTCCCTTTCTTTTCGTTCTCATTAATTAATGCAGGAGAATTCGCCTTTTTTTTTCCATTCCGAGGTCGTCAGCGACACAGTAATATCTGCGAATCTAAAGTTTTTATTGTTAGGTCCGCCCATAATATATTCTGGTGAGTATCCTTTGGAGGTTAATTGACGGAAACCACTAATATTTTTTTTATTCGCCTTTTGTTAGAACAATGCACTTTACTTGTGTGCCATTGTGTGCATCTAGGTACGTATGAGTAAACCATTTTATGTATACATGCACATCTATCTGAATCACTTCATATCTATCTATCTATCTATCTATCTATCTATCTATCTATCTATCTATCTATCTATTTGTTATGGTGATCTACCTACATGGGAATGAACTCTTCCTCCTTCATAAATACCAACCTGCGAGTCAGTCGAGACGCAGATACATAGATAGATAGATAGATAGATAGATCACGCTAAACAGGCTTTAGATAGATAGATAGATAGATAGATAGATGAATAGATAGATAGATAGATAGATTGATTGATTTTCAGGTAACCTGAGAGTTTGGACGGACACTTCTATCTGCTGACTTATAACACTCTTACACTGTATATATATTTTATTTCAATACACTTGTTCAACCTACCTTTTTCTTTCCGTGTTCTTTCTTTCTCGCGCATAACAGGCCAGGACACTATCCGGGTCACTTCCTATCTATCTATCTATCTATCTATCTATCTATCTATCTATCTATCTATCTATCTATCTATCTATCTCGGTCTTTTCAAATCTATCTGAGTCACTTCATATCTATCTATCTATCTATCTATCTATCTATCTATCTATCTATCTCAGTCTTTTTAAATCTATCTTTTTTCAATCAATACAAGGTTCAAGATTAACTCAACCTAAAGGATTACTACATGAGGTGCGTGAAATGAAAGCAAGAGAAGGAAGTAAAGATATAGAGGATAGATAACGATTTGACCCTAAACTTGAAGAGGGAGTTAAGATTTTATATTGTTTCAGGAAATGTATGTACATGAGAATCTGTTCCATAAAGCATCAGTTTTCGAGAGGCTTTCCGAGTGTGACATGATTATTGCAAAATGAATACGGGGAGAATGGGGATGATTCAATGCTGTAGGCGTAACAAAGTAGATCTTGGCTGCAAATGTCTGAACTGCTGCAGCTCATGTGAACATTTGCCATGGAAGTTGCGACATAATAGCGATAGTCTGGTGTCATTGCGTCTACGGGGAAAGGGGCTGTAGAGTGGAGAACAAGTCATCATCCACAAGGCGTAAATGATTTTGAACTTTTTAGAAGCTAGAAAGAGATTGGGTAGCTCTATCTCAAATATATCAACAATATTCATAATTTTGGATCTGATCTGACACTTTTTTGGATCTTCTAAATATGAAGAATTGCAGAATTAGTTACTTTCGGTGGCGGTATAGGGAGCCATTTTTCTAGTATTTTTAGCAATAGATCATATATATATACATTTTACTTGAGGTCTAGGGTGAACGTGAGTTCCAAAGACGTTCAAAGCAATGAGCCCCATTAAGAATGCTGCCAATGTTCTTTGTTGTTTTATAGTTTTAACGATTGGCAATTTTTCTCTGCAAATTTTTCTGTTGTTTCATAGTTTTAAAGATTGGTTACTTTTCTCTGCAGCAATTTAGGGTAATTGAGTAATGATTGTTGAATAAACTTCTTCCTTTCTGCGCAAATATATTCAAGGGACATAACTGCAAATTTTAAAGGGAGACAACTTGTTAAAAATGAATATACATTAAGAATTACTATAAATTTTGATTTTATTTCAACTTTATTTTATTTCACTCTGTCTTTTCCCTTTCTTCTTTATTTTTTTGTTCATTTTGTATTTTTCATTTTCATTCTGTTTTCTAACTTCTAATGTTTTTTCTCAGTTTATTTTGTAATGTAAGAATTTCTTTCTTTCCTCGTTTCTTTTTTATTTTTCATTCAATGACTTTTCTTTTTCTTTCTTTACTTTTCAAACTTTATTTGTTGGGTTACTTTTTTTTATAACATTTCCCAGATTTTTCATTCTTTTCAAAAATGTTTTCTCTGTTTCAATTCTTTCTTCGCACAAGTTTTTCTTTTGTCCGCTTACTTCTATTTTACATTCAGTTTTTTTTTTAATTTCTTTCTTTTTTCTTTCTTTTTAACGCCATTTTAGGACGTTTTTTCTGACTCGTTATGTCTGACAACTAAATTGCTTCTAATATCGACGGAAAAAGACACAGTCCAGTCAACTATAAAATCAACCAAACGATTCATGCACAAACGAACGAAATAATTGTTAGCGTAGAAGCTATTTCTCGTACAACACACTTTGACGGCAGGCACTGTACCAGATCGATTCAAATATCAAAGTCAAAACTAATCGAGAATAATCAAACCACATTGAAAAGCAGTCAAAAAGCTCCTGCATCTTAAATCAAGCGGATAATATTCAAACAGCCTAGACAAAGATTACAACTGTTTATATATTTATAAACTAATCCCATCTTTTACTCTGGTGAGCCACTCAAATGAAATTACTTATTTGGATATCAGTCAATGTCTGATATCGTAACAGCCTAAATTAGCCGTGGAAAAAATGTGTGAGATTTCCTGCGTTAGACGAGTTGCTGATTTGAATCATTAATCGCACTTGAAAATGAGCCGCCCGAACTGAACCGAACCGACCGAACCGAGTGGAGCCGACCGACTGAATTAAGCCGAGCCGATCCGATCCGATCCGATCCGATCCGATCCGAGCCGAGCCGAGTCGAGCCGATCCGATCCGATCCGAGCCGAGCCGCGCCGAGCCGGTTGCTATATTTGTTGTTGGCAGCCATTTTTTTCTGGAATAAAAGGGAAGCTATTTTTCCGTACGGATTTTGTATACATAAAGAAGGCCGAAGAATGAATCGTCCGAAATTATGTAGTTAAAACAGAAGTAAAAATAAATAAATTCTTTTTTTTTTTAAGAATTAAAGCTTTCCTACTGTTAAAGCCCTCATTTCATCTAGTGAAATATTGGTCAATAAACTAACTATATCTAAAGAAACTTCGCGTCTCTTATCTTGTTGATACCGTTTAATCTTTTATAGTCGTGAAATGTCCTAAGGTCTTACGTTTAATATTAATACAGGGTTCTAATATATGACTGAGATATTTATTTATGAAGACGATAGTTGAATGAATCAATCGAGTCTATAGAAGGTCATAATGATGTATTTTCGTCTGATCTTTAATTTTGTGCCCTTTAGAGCATCCATACCATAAGGTGCTGGAATCGATTCTTTTGGGCAAATATTTTTATCTGTTCTGCTATCAATAAAATTTTTTATTTATTATGTCGAGAACCTTTGAAGTTGCTTTTCACTCTAATGTTTTTTCATCATTTACATACATTTTATTTCTTTTAGCAATCTTTTACTTATTATTATTTGTTAAAGTCCTCAGAATATATCTATATAGAGAAACAAATTGAATAAAATAGACAATCGGGTAATAGTACTATGTCTTCTAAGAAGTGGTCTACAAATATAGCCATGTGTCAAATTACCTTTGCCTAATAAATGCCGATGTCACATAACCCAATCCGCTAGCGTTAGTTCCTGCCATCTAATCACTGAACTATGCCTGCAAGTACTTTTTCGTCTCGAGTGCCGACTTGGATTCAGGCAAAATTGGAAAATATGATAGATAAGAGTAGGAACGGCGAGTTAAGCCGATTTAATTACGAACCCAAGACTTTGATCTTGACCGGTGTCACCGTCGTCCTCCAGCTCTCTGAGACCTACACGGTGCAGACAGTAGATAACGAAAGCTCGTCTCATTTCCAGTCCATTGAAGTCGGATTGTCAACTCCACGCCGGACAGAAATCATCAAAATTGAAACAGAGCGAAATCAGATTTCAAAGTTTTTGAGACGAATCGACGAAAACTCGTTCATTGGCCGTGAAAGAAAGATACGCATATTCTTTCAGGCTAAAGCAAACAAAATTCTCTGGCTGTTTCTCTCAGCTTGAACACATTCAAAAGCTACTTCGATTATTCGCGGCGTTTCTTTAAAGCTATCTTAACCCCGAGTCGAAGCTTTATCGGCTTAGAAAAATAAATGAACTGTGTGTGTGACACTTTAAAAACTTAAATGAAATCGGAGCATTGTTATTATGATTCTTTTTTGAGTCAAGAATTTTTCATTTTATTTTGTGCCTTTTGACGGAGAAAGTTAACCCTGTTGATGAGGCATAGAATACAGTAACTGAATCCCTTGTAAATAGGGTGAAATCACACACCCCAAAAAGAGAGTCATCTACATAAAGGATGCTTCACATTTGAGTAAGGACGATGTTTACCGATATACTAAAATATAAACACAACCTATGTTTAAGTATAGACTTAAATATAAGAACAAACTATGGTTACCTATACTGAAGAATAAACACTATCTATGCCTACCTATATGATTAAGTATAATCACATACAACTATTAAAAAGTATCTCCCTGAATAAATTTCGGCTCTCGGTACTTTGAGGGAAAGGATGAAGGTAATAAAATAATTACTGAAACCTGAACCTTTTCAGCCGACGTGCAAAGCTCCTTGGCCAAGGAGTGGAGGTAGGGCCCATTGCAGTGAAGGAAAAGGAAAGAAAAGTGTTTTCCTACTACAATAAACTGTTTTGATAAACGTGATTTTTTAACTAATGACTACTCGAGTCTATTGGAATCTGAAATGCTTGTGTTGACCGCCGAATTTTTCGGGTAAATCGGAGCCGACTTTTGGCTATAAAAATATCTGCAATACGACCATCAAAAAGAGTAGGAGACGCGACGCCAGGAGTAGGAGAGGCTTGCAGGAGTGGGAGACGCGACAGCTTCCAAAATATCTGAAAACTTGTTCGAGCTCGGACTCAAAGAAATCTACTCTTCAACAAAGTCTTGATAAATAAATTGTCGTTTCCACGACAGAGAACAAGTACTGTTCTCAAAGCAACACTCTACTTTGAAGACACGGAACACAAAAGGCACGAACGGATTCTGTCACGAACTTCGACGACTCATATTAAGTGACATGAACTATTAAGAACGTACACATTTTATACCTTCAAGGACAATAAACCCTTTTAACTAGGTTCGATCTCACTAAACCCCTTAATTGTAACTTTTTCTTTGTAATTTGCATTGTTTTGGTTCATCCCTGTCCTCAAGAAGACATGGCCATGGCCATAAAGATGTTGGTTAGATCCAGTGACTAGACCCAAAGAGTTGTGAGTTTAATAACATCCATAGCAGTGGTGAACCAAACTTGGAGAGTTGGGTTAAAGGGAAAAAAAATGGAGATAGCACGTGGAATTAGAAAAATCTACCCCGGTGAACGAAATAAAGGGTTTGTTTCAAATTTTGTTATCACCTCTTTTGGGGTTACGTGAGTGACATGGGTCATAAAAATGACCTCAAAGGAGAAAAATATATTGTAAAGTTATGGAAATATAAGATTAGAAATTATGAAAAAATTGAACAGGATGGTCTGAAGATTACATTCAAGCCTGAAACGAAACGGACTGTCGCCATTCTGTATCAATCCTAGTGTTCACTTTCATATTCATATACGCTCTATCCCTGATATTGATTAATTTTACCCATAGGTATAACATACCTTAAAAGTATATATATGTCTCTTTTTCAAATGGATATTTTTTATACGACTTTAGGTCTAACTATAAACGTTATTCTTAGAGAGTACAGACATTTGAGTATTAAGGAAAATAACATTTATCGTTGTAATATATATATATGTATATATATGCAGTGTAACCCGGATATAAGAGACCCGGATATAAGAGAAACCCGGATATAAGAGAGATTTTCTCTGATCCCAAATTAGAGCCTGTGTTAATGTATATAAAAATAACCAAAACCGGATATAAAGAAACCCGGATATAAGAGACTTATTCTCCGGTCCCGACAACTCTCTTATATCCGGGTTACACTGTAAATATATATATATATATATATATATATATATATATATATATATATATATATATATGTTTAAATAACAGGGACGCCATTTTATTAATCAAACCTTTTTTTTATTTCATTTTTTTTATTTTTTATTTTATTTTATTTTTTTTTTATAGACAAATAGCACCTGAGATATCTTTTGGCCAACACTTATTCATAGGTAACGCGTTGGCACATTATTTATTAGTATAAAGAGAACACAAATATTGAAATATTTACTAAAATGGTAGAAAAGTCCGAGCTCGTTTAAAATTAAATTTATTGAAAATATAATTGAAACGTAAGGTGGGGGGATGATTCTTAGCTCGGAAAGAGTTAATAAAGAGAAAAAAATTTAACTCAAAATCCTTCCAAGAGTTTTAATGATCTTGTGAAATGGTCTTTCTGTCTGCATAAATTTGAACGATGTAATTTTAAATATGCAGCTTCCAAAACACGTCAATGAAATTCGGTTTGGACGCTGCGCAGGACAGAGAACCAAGTGTCCTGATAAGCAGAGACACAGTCCTGGTTGTCCATCAGATGTTGGCCAATAGCCGACTCCTGGACCGACTGAGAAACTCTATTCCTGTGTTCGTGATTACCTAGATGTGAGGGAACATGCTGAGAAACACGCGTTTCCAAACGAAGATTAGTCCGTCCTATATATACCGAATCACATCGGCATTTAAATTGATAAATCACTGAATTTTTACTTAAATAGGACAGTCTATCCTTCACAAAGGAGGGGAACACCCCTCTGGTCTTAAAAATGGTCCGCAATTTCACAGCAAAGTAACACGAAGAAATGCAAGAAGAAACCTTATCAGCGATAAACTGTCCCTGCCTGCCAAGCCAGGGTAACTTTAAATAAATGGGACAACGACTAGGCCCTAAAACAGCTGGTTCCTTAAATCGTCTAACTTTTCTAGCGATAATACGCTTGATTATGTTGGAAGGATACCCATTATCTACAACAATACTGTGTAACCTCTCAAGTTCACCGTCCATTAACTTGGGGGAACAAATCATCAAAGCGCGGTGAAGCAGTCTTTCAATCAGACCTATCTTGCGGGACTTGGGGACAAAGGAAGTCCAACTGGTATATAAACCAGTAAAAGTTTGCGGAAGACGGAAGTATTGAAAACCCCATCCCTACGTTGAACCAAGACATCCAAAAAGGGCAGAGACTCCTCTTTCTCCATTTTGGCCATAGTGAATCTAAGGGAAGGATGAAGGGAATTTAAACCTGCCAAGAAATTGTCAGCTTCACCAGAACATTCAAAAACGGAAAAAGTATCATCAACATACCGTTTATAAACTAAAGGCATGTTGATTTTCTCGAACAGAACTTGCTCATAGTGACCAACAAAAATGTTGGCAAGCACCGGACCCAAAGGACTGCCCATAGCGACCCCGTCTGTTTGGACATACATAATACCGTCGAAACTAAATTCGACCCCCTCTGTGGCAAACCGCATGCACTCCAGAAACAACTCTTCTGGGATGCAGGTTGATTCTAAATTTTCTCTGTATAATCAATCTGTACAGATCGCAATGGTCTCCTGTAATGGTACGTTAGTGTGAAGACTAACTATGTCAAAGGAGACCATTATTTTATTGACAGAAGAAAAATCAATATTCCTAATGAAACTAGAAAATCTGAAGGAGTTTGAAATGTTATACGTCGACAATGCATCAGATACGGGTTGGATTGACTCCGCCAACAATTTGGCCATCTCATGCTG